TGCATGCAGATATTGCTTTGTAATAATTCTGGTAGATTATGCAGCGTGATATCCCAAAGCTGTGCCGCTGTGCACCAGTTCTGCACAGAACGTGGTGTTTCTGGTCATCTCACAAGCATCTCAGACAAAATTCGAAAGAGATACTGACTGACCAGGACACGTCATTCATGTCTCACACACTCAAAGAGCTTTAGAAATTATTGGGCATTAAGTCTGTTTGGATGGCATCTGTCGCCTTCAGACTGGTGGGCTGTTGCAGCTGAATAAGACTTAAAGTCCATGATTCATACGTTCATTCACGAGGATGAATGCAATTGGGATTGCTGGTTGGACCTTCTGTTGTTTGCAGGGCGTGAGGTGCACTGCAAACAACAGACAATCCTGAGACCCCCACAGGATCGTCTCCCTTTGAGTTACTGTTTGGCATAAAGCTGCGGGGGTGTTGGACCTGATTAAAGGATACTGGAATGAAGGTCGGCGCCCAGCTATAATTGAAATTCAATATGTTCTGGACCTGAGAGCAAAACTGCACACATTGGGAAGGTTATCACAACAAAATTTGTCCCAGGTCCAGCAACGTCAACAGCACCTGCACAACAGAGGGGCTAGACTCATTTTCCCTGGACTGGACATAAAGTGCTTGTATTAGTCCCGTCTTCTAGCTCAAAATTACTTGCCAACTGGCAAGGACCCTTTGTGGTCACACGGTAGGTGGGGGACATAGACTATGAGGTGGTATGGTCAGACAGGGGAGGAACCACACTTGTATATCACCTCAACCTCCTCAAAGCACGGAGAGAGGCTTCTCTGGTGAGCCTGGTGAAGAAGAGAGATGAGTTGGAGGTGCAAAATTCCACCATTCCCACCTCCTGGACTTGTCAGGCACTACAAGTTTTTAAAAAAAAAAACCAAACCCTGGATTTAACCAAGGGCTACTGGCAGATGCCCTTGTCTGCGGAGTCAAAGGAAAAACTGTCCTTCTCCACTCCGTACAGTTTGCACCAATTGGTTACACTTCTGTTCGGCTTGTTCGGAGCCCTGGCCTCACGCCTCATGGACCAGGTGCTGCTTATGCCTGCTGCCTACTTGGATGACGCTATCATTCAGAGTGACACCTGGGCAGAGCATGTGCAGCGGGTGGCCACAGTCCTGGAGTCCCTGAGCCAGGTGGGGCTCATGGCCAACCCAAAGAAGTGTGTGGTTTGAGGGAGAGAGGTAGAGTATATCGGGTACCACTTGGGAGGTGGACAGATGCGCCCCTTAGATGGTGGTTCTTGGAACTGGCTGGTTATTAAGACCAGCTTGTTCCAAACTTTGCAAACCTGACCAGCCCCTTGACCAAAATGGTGCCCCAGATCTGGTCCAGTGGATGGAGCAGATCAAGGCGGCTTTTGTGTGGTTTAAAAAGGTTCTTTGTGGGAGCCCCTGTCTCACACATGTAACTTCTACTTCCCTTTCATTCTGTAGATGGATGTCTCAAACAGAGGGCTGGGGGCAGTTTTGTCACAGCAGGTAAGGCGGGTTGACTGCCCTGTAGTCTACATCAGTCAGAGGCTGTCGGAGAGGGAGGCCAGGTACAGCATGGTGGAGAAAGAGTGTCTGGCAATCCAGTGGGCAGTCAGCTCTCTTTGTTATTGCATCCTGGGACACTTATTCACC